TTTTTTTCAATATTAGTTAGCATAACTCCGGCCAAGTTGAGTAGGTGGGAGTGTTGTAATTCGCTTGAGCCCTTCTCATACCGCACCTCCCTCCTGAGTGCATCGTCAAACTTACTTTTGATCCGGTATTGTAATCTTGAGGAGGTCTGGTTGATGAGCTTCGCGAACCTGAAGCGGTCCAGCACGCTAAGGCTCCGATTGACTTCGTGAAGAACACGGCGGTACTCGAGGAGAAAGTGTTCCAAGTCAGCGGCGGTCCTCTCCAGTTCGTCCTTGATAAAGGCGCGTTCGATTCTCCATGACTTCTTGGCCTTAACTCTCTGCACCCGCTTCTTGATAGAGCGGGGCGCAACGCCGCACGTAAGGCAGTTCCGTAAAAAGTCTGCATTCTCACGACCACGGATGATCCGGCCTTTGCACTTTAAAACATAATTCAGGTCCTGAATAAGTCGGTGGTCCAGTCGCCGTTTAAAATATTTAAATAGAGAGGTAGGCGAACAAAATTTATATACACACAACAACAAGGTTGTCAGTTTCATAATACTAAAAGCTTTTCACCCATTTTCATCAGTAGATACATGGGAATGAGCAAGATTGAAAACAAAGCCAGAATTTATACTGGGGGTAGAGAATCAGCAAGAATATTCTTACGCGCCTCAAGTTCACACTACACTACCATAAGAATGTATGGAGCGGTGGAAAAATGCGGGAAACAACACATGAAGGGAATGCAGTACCACAACAAACACGTGATAAAGTTGTCAGTCCGGTTGCAGCTTGAACAGCTGCAGCACCATGATGTGCTTCTTTTATCGACACAGCTCTGGCCTCAAACTGCGAATGTACAGCGCCTCCAGTGTGAATCTGTGCGCGCTGTTCCGGGCTGGTGTGATGACACTGAAGCTGCCGTTGCGTTCTTGCGGGATGCATTCAGGTTGCGCCTGCAAATGCTTTGTGATGGCGCTATCACTTGTTGCCACACGTTTGTCAGGCGGCTTCTTGTACAGCTTGTCTGGGATATGCTGCTTGATCCTTTCCGAGAATCGCTGACATGTCTCACCAACGTACGTTCGCTCACAGCGACACGCATACTTATAAATAAAATTACTATTTTCAAGAGGTGGTGAAACATCCTTCGCGATAGACCTGAATGCGGGCCTGGTTGTATAAATTACAATGGGGGATACTGTAGGATAGCCATTCAAAATTATAGCTTTAATCTTTTTGCGGAAGGCAATGCAATTATGCCCTTTCCACGGCAATTTTGTGATAATACGCGTTGCAGGTTCAAGTTGTGCAGAAGCTGTATCTGGGCTAGGTTCAAGAACGCTTGTCATGACTCGCTTGAGTACTTTGAGTGGGTAACCGTTAGAACACAGAATATCCTCTAGCTTAGCAATTTCAGCTGATAATAGTGATGGTGAGCAAATGGTTTTAGCTCTGAAAGTTAATGATCTGATCAAATTGATTTTGTTTCTAGTGTCACAAAACGAGTCCCAGCGGGTGTAAAGACCTGTGAACGTCGGCTTTCTATATACTGTGGTGAGCAATTCTGTGGAAGAATGCTAAATCAATACATCAAGAAACGGCAATTCTCCATTATTCTCCTCCTCCATTGTAAACTGGAGAGCTGGGTGAAGATTATTTAAACGCTCAGAGAATTCCAATGCCAGTTTCCGGTTGTGAAATGCTGCGAATATGTCATCCACATAACGCCTATAGAATTGGGGCCAATCTGGAATTGTGTTCTCAAAATATCCAACAAAGATATTGGCTAGCACGGGGCCCAAGGGTGAACCCATGGCTACTCCGTCCCTCTGTGCGTACATATTGCCGTTGAAACTGAGCTGCACGTCTGATGTGGCTTTGAAAAGCAGCTTCTTGAAAAGATCTTGGGGTATTTGCGGGGCTGATATTTCACCATCATGGCATAGCGACTGTATGCAGATATCTATTGTTTCATTGAGAGGCACGTTTGTAAAGAGGCTGACTACATCGAAAGAGCACAGGAACAGCGATCCAGAGTTCTCTGCCTGCTGCTGGCCAAATTCCCGTACATCATCCACGAACTCGAATGTATCCTTACTTGCGTGGGCGGAATATTTATTTAGGACTGGTTTTAGTAATTCAGCTAACCACTTTGCCATTTCGTGTTGGGGAGCATTGATCATGGACAGGATTGGTCGAAGCGGCACGTCTTTCTTATGTATTTTCGGTACGCCATACAGCACAGGTCGGCACGAGCCAACAGGTCGGATCCGGTCGTAATCTATATTGAGTATTTTTCCAGCCTTTTTGTATCGCAATAGGTATGCCTGCAAGGCGCGTTCATCCAGGTAAGTGCTGTCATGCCTTTCCGTCGGTCCCAGGAGTTGAAACTTCGATGCATCAGCCAGAATAGCATTCATCTTGTCATTGTAATCACTTCGCTGAATTATCACCACTCCATTCCCTTTGTCCGGCCTGCTGATTATTATATCTTTGTCATTCTTTATTTTCCTGATGGCTGCCATATGCTTGTCGTTGAGGGGATAATCGGTTTTATCTGCTTTACTATTACTAAACTCTTCTGCAAGATTCGCCAACGCTGCTTGACACGTATCCCTCTTGGCATCACTCACTGGTACGCAGCGCTCCAATTGATCATTTGTTAGTTCGAATTCTGCCTGCACAATCTCCTTGTCCATTCTGGAACTAGGGGGACTCCAAACTTCAAGCCCCTGCACAGTACGTCTTTTTTCAATATTAGTTAGCATAACTCCGGCCAAGTTGAGTAGGTGGGAGAGTTGTAATTCGCTTGAGCCCTTCTCATACCGCACCTCCCTCCTGAGTGCCTCGTCAAACTTACTTTTGATCCGGTAGTGTAATCTTGAGGAGGTCTGGTTGATGAGCTTAGCGAGCCTGAAGCGGTCCAGCACGCTAAGGCTCCGATTGACTTCGTGAAGAACACGGCGGTACTCGAGGAGAAAGTGTTCCAAGTCAGCGGCGGTCCTCTCCAGTTCGTCCTTGATAAAGGCGCGTTCGATTCTCCGTGGCTTCTTGGCCTTAACTCTCTGCACCCGCTTCTTGATAGAGCGGGGCGCAACGCCGCACGTAAGGCAGTTCCGTAAAAAGTCTGCATTCTCACGACCACGGATGATCCGGCCTTTGCACTTTAAAACATAATTCAGATCCTGAATTAGTCGGTGGTCCAGTCGCCGTTTAAAATATTTAAATAGAGAGGTAGGCGAACAAAATTTATATACACACAACAACAAGGTTGTCAGTTTCATAATACTAAAAGCTTTTCACCCATTTTCATCAGTAGATACATGGGAATGAGCAAGAACGAAAACAAAGCCAGAATTTATACTGGGGGTAGAGAATCAGCAAGAATATTCTTACGCGCCTCAAGTTCACACTACACTACCATAAGAATGTATGGAGCGGTGGAAAAATGCGGAAAACAACACATGAAGGGAATGCAGTACCACAACAAACACGTGATAAAGTTGTCAGTCCGGTTGCAGCTTGAACAGCCGCAGCACCTTGATGTGCTTCTTTTGTCGACACAGCTCTGGCCTCAAACTGCGAATGTACAGCGCCTCCAGTGTGAATCTGTGAATCTGTGAATCTGAATTCTTATGGTAGTGTAGTGTGAACTTGAGGCGCGTAAGAATATTCTTGCTGATTCTCTACCCCCAGTATAAATCCTGGCTTCGTTTTCGTTCTTGCTCATTCCCATGTATCTACTGATGAAAATGGGTGAAAAGCTTTTAGTATTATGAAACTGACAACCTTGTTGTTGTGTGTATATATATATAATATAAATAGTGAGGTAGGCGAACAAAATTTATATACACACAACAACAAGGTTGTCAGTTTCATACTATATATGTTTGTCTCTCCCAATTTCTCTCTCTCGCCTTCTGCCGCTCTCTCTCACTCTATTTTTCTTCTTTTTCCCTCTGCCTCAGTCACTGTCTTTGTCTCTCCCTCTGTCTCGCCTGTCTCTGTCTGTATCTGTCTGTCTGTCTCTGTCTGTTTTGATCTGTCTCTGTCTGTCTCTGTCTGTCGCTCTGTCTCTCTACCTCTCTCTCCACCTCTTTCTCGCTCTATCTCTCTCTGTCTCTCTGTGTCTATCTGTCCTTCCTTCTCTCTGTCTCTCTGACTCTCTGTCTCTCTCAATCTCTTTCTGTCTCTTTTCTCCCCCCCTCATTCTCTTTCTCTCTGTCTCTCTCTCTCTTGGCCTTCATCCGTGAAATGTTGAATGGTGGAGCCGAACAGCAATAAAACAATGGAAGAAATGTAGTGAAGTAGACAATTATACACATAGCTACAATACGTCTCCAACCTCTCTCGTTAAGATTCAAACAAGTTGTCGTGCAACGCTCTTCAGGAATTGTTCCTGAACTAAAGTCTAAAGGACATTGCAACATAGGTGAAATAAAAACAAAGACAAGGAAAATAACACCTGCACACCCTTAGGAAGGTGCAACAACAGCACTGAAAGTATACAAGTATGAATTGCAACATTGAAGGCAACATAAAGTCTTCAAATTTATTCAGAGATTGTTATAATCAAAACAACTAACCTGCAAGCAGTATTGTTAGAGTAGACAGACCGGACCGGGCGGTTGTGATAGTAAAAATCGATTAGAAAAATGACCTGCGTTACATGCAAAATAGATTGAATCGTGTGGCACGGTGCGGCTGTCGAAAAGGATAGTCCGATAGTACGTTACTTGGTTAGGGGGGGGGGGGTATGTTTTTGATGATTCGGTGAATAATTTCCCGTGGTGTATTTCCGCAACT